GGGTAGAAATAACTAAATAAGATGCAGCACTGAGTTCTTTGTGTTTTAAGTGTAGGCAGAGCTAATAATATGGAAGCAGGGTGCGAGTGAGTTCACGAGTGCAGAAGAATCACTGCAACTGAGATCATCATTAAGAAGTTGAACAAACCCATGTGACCCACTTGCCATGCGTATTTTTAAAGGAAGCCTACTCCATATACTTAGTGACGGAGAAGTTTTCTTGAGTTTTGGATCTATACTTCTCAAGTTTGACCGTAGATACTTTATCTCGAAGGTTATGTGTACATGGGCCATGGATAAGGACTAAACTACAAGAGGAATATGTAAGCTTGTTCAGGAGTTTAAAGTAAAGGATCAGATTGGACTTAGGCCTTCTTTTCCATAACGGATCAAGCCCGAGTTCATTACATCGAGTTGGATAGTCAATGAGTGAGCTATAATTTAGGACTTTCCGAGTAAAGTTCCTTTGTATTCCTTCACTTCAACATATCAGACAGGCATAAGTTAGGAAATAAGAAAGAGCAGTATTCAGCAGTAGGTCTTACGCATGTTTTGTAGAGAATTATTCTGGATTCTCTATGAAGGAAGTTACGAAAGATGAAACCAAGCATTCTTCTCATTCGGGAAAATTTATTGGAGATATGTTCAGAGAAGCTAGGGCTGTGCGAATAATGCACTCCAAGACCAGTTACGGATGTCAGTTTGGGCAATAAAATCCTGTTGAGAGAGATCTAATTTGGAAGATGTGTCGCCGAAACTCATCCAGCCACAGTTCTCAGTATTAAGTTCAAGGTTCCATTGCTTAAACCAGACATCTACAGTATTGAGTTCATGCTGGATTGTGTGCATCAAATTTCCTAAGTCAGATTTGCTAGTTTGATAAATCACTTTTAAGTCATCCGCATAGAGGTAGGTTTTACCAGTGTTGAAACAACTGCATATGCTGTTGATGTAGATTATGAAAAGCAGTGGACCCAAAACACTGCCCTGCACAACACCACTGGTAATTGGCCGAGGTATAGATGTATTACAGTTGATTTTGGTAATCTGGTGTCTGTTTGTGAGGAACCACCTAATCCATTGCAACAGGCAGCCAGTAATGCCGAAAGACTGAAGTCTGTTGATTAAGAGATTATGAGGTACCTTATCGAAAGCCTTTTTTATATCGAAATACAACACGATTACTAGTTGCTTTTGATTGCGTACGCTGGTAACCTCATTAAAGAAGTCTAACAGACATGTGGTACATGACCTAGTTCTAATGAAGCCATGTTGAGAAGGGTCAATGTGACCTTCCCTGAGTAAGTGATCAGATAGTTGATCTTTTATCACATGTGTCGCCGAAACTCATCCAGCCACAGTTCTCAGTATTAAGTTCAAGGTTCCATTGCTTAAACCAGACATCTACAGTATTGAGTTCATGCTGGATTGTGTGCATCAAATTTCCTAAGTCAGATTTGCTAGTTTGATAAATCACTTTTAAGTCATCCGCATAGAGGTAGGTTTTACCAGTGTTGAAACAACTGCATATGCTGTTGATGTAGATTATGAAAAGCAGTGGACCCAAAACACTGCCCTGCACAACACCACTGGTAATTGGCCGAGGTATAGATGTATTACAGTTGATTTTGGTAATCTGGTGTCTGTTTGTGAGGAACCACCTAATCCATTGCAACAGGCAGCCAGTAATGCCGAAAGACTGAAGTCTGTTGATTAAGAGATTATGAGGTACCTTATCGAAAGCCTTTTTTATATCGAAATACAACACGATTACTAGTTGCTTTTGATTGCGTACGCTGGTAACCTCATTAAAGAAGTCTAACAGACATGTGGTACATGACCTAGTTCTAATGAAGCCATGTTGAGAAGGGTCAATGTGACCTTCCCTGAGTAAGTGATCAGATAGTTGATCTTTTATCACTTTCACCATCACACGTGATATATCTGAGGTGTTATTAACCGGTCTGTAGTTTTGGATTAAGTCTTTCGGTCCAGATTTATGTACAGGGACAATATGAGTCAACTTCCATGATTCGGGGTATGTTCCAGACTCAAGGGATAACGTAAAACTTTTGAGCAAAAGCGCTGGAAGGTTCGGTCCTGCCATTTTTAAAAGTATGGAAGGTATCTCATCCGCAGCACAGCTGCCATTGGGTTTGAGGGTTTTAATTACGGCTTGAATATTGTTTAGATCAAATTCGATGGTACAAAGATTATGCATACTGCTACAGTTAATGTTAGTATCAGGGGTAGGAGATGTATTCTGATTGAGAGAGCCATGTACTAAACAGTTCTCAAATAACAGCTTCGTCATAATAAGTCTGTCCATCATGTAGTATAGAATGAATTTTGCGATCTGAGTCCTTTTTTATGCGTTTGTTAAGCAAACGATAGAGGTTTTGGGACTTACACGCAGTAGCGAGAGCATTATTTTCTTCGATTTGCTTACGCACTTCATGTTGGTATTTCACACCTTCAGGTATAGCGTAAAGTTGGTACAGGATGCTGAAGTCCTTAGATTTGCAATATCCTAGCTTTAGTTGACATAGTTTAGGCCTAGCTTTATAAGTGATATAAGGAGTAGCTGTTTTGAAAGACGTTTTGAGTGGACAGTAGTGTCTAGAACAGATTTAATGGTGACATTGAATATATGTAATGCATCAGGAAGTTCAAGACAAGAAAAAAAACGCATTCCAGTCGGAGTGCTGAAGTGGATACCGGAAGCTGTCCCAGTCAGCATGATATCACGTATAAACGAAATAAATATTAATTCTATCAGTGTAAATGCGAGTGATATATTCATCAGTAAATGTAGTTGAAGGTCGAATTTCACTAATAATAGATAATTTAGAGTCCTACTCATTCTCTGCAACATTACTGCTATCCATAAAGTACATGAAACATGCAACTACTTCTAAAACTTTCAGGTCTTTGACAGAACGTCACGTAGCATGCTCATCAGGAACCTCGTACTCACTATCACATAATTTTTCTAGACCCAGCAACGCAGTGGATATGAGAAGAGTTATTGCACTTAGCCTGATGTACTGTTCTATTCGCTGTTCTAGAATCCATAACCATCTAACGGAGCAGCGTACGTACCTCAAACGAGTATTTTCTTACTCCTAGACGTTATTTTAAAATCAACTCTCTGTTTCGGATAGCATGTCTGATCATGGTTCCCACCCCGATTGCTTAGCAACCTCACTTGTGCTGTATCTTTTAAATGTCTCCACTGTTCCCACTGTTGTTCTGTTAGGAATTCTGTATCATCTATTGGTAACCCTCTGATCGTATAAGCTCTACTGATCTGCTCTACTATATGCTCTGTTGAACAATACAAAAAAGCCATCAGGTAGTTCGAATCCTTAGCACAATCCACTATTTGGTTACCATCACTGTTATTATGCTGCTGTGGACGAAAATTAGGCTCGTTTTGCTTGATCTACCCAAGTGACCATTTCGAAAATAAAGATAACACAGACCATGTTTCTTCAGTTTCCTTCTCTACTAGGAACAATTAATCTTAGATGGCTCCATTAAACCTGTCATCTATATGGGACTACTAACTTCGAATTTAGCTTAATTGTTTGAATCATGCCTGGTGATACAATTGTAAATCATGACCCAAGTAACAAGCAAACGAATTTCCTGTGAAAAGTTTAGACGGAAATTGAGAGTAATGAAGTCAGCTATATTGTTCTAGGAATATTCTTGGCAGTTTTTGAAACAAACTTTTAATATTGAGGTTTAAAGAGTAAACTATCCGAAATACCAAAACCGAAAGAAAATAATTACATATACCCAATCCCAAACTTATTGACGAGCAAGTTTCAGGGTTGAATAAAACAAAAAAATCTTAAAGCTGAGATTGATGTCAACGGTTTGTGGTCAGTTAGATAATTCTATATCCATTTGTATAGATGCCTATCTCTCCAACCTCGCCTGCACTTCAAAGATTGTTTTTGGTCCTTAGTCAAGTTAAAAATGAGTTTGAGCGGTGTTCGAAACCTAACCCGCAGAACGCAAGCCATTTTAACAAATGAAACTGGGATACTAAGGGTTTTCTTACTCCAGAGCTTTAACACCTAATGCTGAAAGATGAGGTTATATGAAATAAGTGGTCCAGAGGCATCGAGATTATATGACAAAGAAAGCTAGCTATTCAGTCACTCTCGAATACAAAGGAATGCATCACAGAGTTCTTAGAATAAATTAACTCATAGAGGCAAAATGTTGAGGAAAAAAATAACTTAAGGAGAGTATTGATAGTATTTGGTTAAGAAAAAGAATATTCATCAAAACCCGTTTTCACAAACTTCTCAATTAGGAATGAATATGGTAATGTGTAAAGTCAGGGAAGATTATGTGAACCGTTATTTTCTGTTCCGGAAGGTTGCCTAGTTGTACCATGCTATGAGATGATTGGATGCACATTACTCGCCTTTACCGAAACCCGTGTTGAGCTCTAAGGAGTATTTTGTTCTAATCCATGTACTGTCGTATTTGCTCATTCACCAGGCCTTTCACTACCTTTGATAGTATTGGTAGTAATTCAACTGTTCTGTAACATGGTGGATCATTCCTATCTCCACCTTTAAAGAGTGAAGAGAGTACCTCGTTTTCATTCAGCTGAGAGTTGGTACGGCTATGTTGAATGCATGAACAGGTCACATACCAGATACCTGGAACCGTACCGATACAAACAGAAGCAAGTGCAGAGAAACTGATTGGTCTAATCTAGCTTGAGCAAAAGATTTCGGATATTTGTTGACTGACCTCATCATTTCTACTGAAGTAGGACTAATTTCTTTTCTGTAAAGACTCAAGAATCTATAGATCCTTAGGTTTGATTAAACTCGGAAAGAGAATGAAACCTCTTAGTTAATCCAAGTCAAAGTTACATAATTTCATTGTTGGTACTTCTCTATATTCTGTCTTGTTCAAAGTAACTAATTGCTAAGCGTCCTGTAGATTGAGCTCCATTCAATGAGAAGGTCATTGTGTTCAGCATTTTATTCGCTCTCACTATACTAAAAATTTCATTAGTAAAGAAATGAACTAAAGCGATGCTTGTGATTAATATTATGGTTCACAAAATTTACAATGAAATTTATATTCCCATCTTATCCACCGAACCTTGCTCGTTCTCTTCAAGTTTATAAAATATGTTCGCTTGTTTGTATAATTATCATCACTGTCAGGCTTTGTTATTGCACTACTAACAATCATACCGTACTTAAGCAAAATGTTTCTATCACACCAGATCTTTCTGACCTATCTCATTATAAAAGAAAAGCACTATATACTCCTTATTGGGCTGTAGAAATCAAGGGAGGTGAGAAAGCTGCACGTAATATAGCCGAAAAGTACGGATTTTTATATCTTGGAGAGGTAAGTGTTAATTGTATTCTAGTATTCTGTTGCTAAGTGCCACTCTGATTGTACTCAATACACTTGTTTCCTTTCACCCTCTCAATCTTAGCAAACTCACCTTTTTTTAAAATAAAATATAATCCCTTAAATCATTGCTTCATAACATAAGTTGATGAATCATGTAAAAATTTAATTAGTTCATGCAGTTTAAATTAAAATCACGAAACCTTTAGTACTAAAATTAAAAACTTAAAAATGTTTAGTGGGTCCGAAATTAAGTTATTTTAAAACCTCAACAATTTAAAATCAGTACATATTCACTGAATTATAGTAAATATTTTTTACCAATTCAGGGGTGAATACTCTGACCTAAATTACTATGATCCATTCCACTCAGTTTTCTTGGGATTAGTATGGATTACCTATTACTAGCTAATTGTACACATCATAAATCCTTTTTTATAATCTTAATAAATTCATGGCTCTATATATATTCCATAAGACGTGGTTATCTGGAATTTATGTAGTCATTCTAATCATGGCGATTCCTGTACAAAGTAGATGCTTAACGTCTAAGAAATCTTACGAGCCACTGATCGTAAGTACGTGTTGGTTACTACTGTCGGCGCTAACTTTCATATCAGTACTTCAGTCCAATAGCTTATTGGCAAAGATTTTCTAGTTTAAAGTTACATTTTTCCACTGTTAAATATATACGTTCTGAATTTTGAAGTCCATCATCAAAATGCTTTGATTTCATTTCTTTTTGAATGTCGTCAGTATATTAGATATTAAGAAGTTAATGTTTGGTTTATGTGACAGTCAATAGTTATAACATCTAAATACATTTGGAAAAAACATTTTTCCCTTCATTCTGCTTCTGTCACTGGTGTGCAAATATTAACTTTTGTTTATTCGGAAATTTCCACACAAACCAAAAAGTTGTTCAATGTATATCGTTGAGTCATCCAGTCGACGATATATCCCTAGTTTTATCTCTGTTGCATAATTTAAAATCACAAGTCGAGGTTATAAACATACATAATTACTCCGCTGTGTTAATTTCCATTTCTTTTTATCAGGCATCCAATAAGTGGTGGCTAGTAGAAGTCGGTTAGTTGGGATTTTAGTTACAGGCTTTGCAGAGTGCTGTTAACACTGTTCTTGAGTACCAATACCACAGGATCTGGATAAACTCATACAAAACTCCAGATTATTTATTTTAATAGTAGAGAATAAATGGATAAAATTCATGAGTCATATACCTCTTCAAAACCCGAAAAATAATATTCGCCACTGGCGTGAAACAGGTGCTTATTGATTCTCGTAGTCGCTAAAAGTTTGCTTTATCTCTCACTTTTATGAAATTTCATTGGTAAATGGGTCACTGTGAAAGACTGTGAAGTTACGCTGGTCATTTGAAGTGCAAGATTTGTTGTATTCGAAACACGAAAACGGAGCATAATTTTCATCTCTACACAGAATATTACAGGCATACACATTCCAACTTCGTCTATGTACATAGTTTGTTATTTAATTCACCATCATGTTTATCCTATACCTCTTTTAAAACATTAGAAGTAATGGTATTACGTACATGCTTGCATCACTTCAAGTTGCCATACCACATTAGCTCATAGAGATCGAATTGTCAATTCAAACCCCGTAATAGTAGTTGTAGCAGTATTAGCAGTAATAGAAAACATTAGGGATTCGAGATATGATTCGACAAGTATATCCAAGTGAAATAAATTTAAAAAGAGGCGAAATTCACCTGGAATTCAAAATATTACAATTTGAGAGAACACAAAGGATGGGTGCACCTGCACCATTGCATACGATTTCGAGACATTTCATCCTAAGTCCCTGAACATCAGTTACTGTAGTCTCGTTGACCCCACCAAGTAGTCTATACCTACTAACATGACTCTATCCATTTGTCAGTGACTCAATAGATTTGTGTCATGTTTTGGTTTGGCCGCCCCTACCTTTCTTCCAGCCCACCCCTACACCACAAAACATATCTCGTTGAGGCAGTCGGTGGTTAGGCATACGTAACACATGTCCCAATTACCTCAACTTATGAACGTTCACATCTTCGTTAATTGATTTGCCATCCTTATCTAGTACTCGTTTCGCAACCCGAACATTGCTGACTCGGTGGTCACAGGATATACGAAGAATGCTTCTGAGACACCGATGATCAAATACCAGTTAACTACGAATATCGTCTACTGTTAGTGGCCATATTTTACTGCTATATCGTAGGTCGAAGCAAACTTCTGCACAGTAGCCTCGTCGTTTGATTATCAAACAGTTATCTCACCTACTCTATAATTGACGGACGTTGGCAAGAGTCAGTCGAGACTTCTGTATGCTTGTCGAAATTCCGTCAGTCGCCATGCCATCAGCACTGATGATACTCCGAAGATAAGTGAAGTGGTCAACACGCTTAACTGGTTCACTCCCTATCACTAGTTCAGGTGGCGATGCAAACCAACCCTGGAGCAACATTTTACAATATGAGGGTTACGGAATTGCATTCCTAACATGATTGCATTGTTGCTTAGGGTGGTTGGACGACTGCATTTGTCAGCGTTTTCACCAATTAGAACTATGTGATCAGCATATTCCAAGTCAAGAAGCGAATCTGTTGGTATTAGGTCGATTCCTGAATAGCCAGATGATGCAAGTTTTGTATCTGAAAGCATGGTAATGACAAAGTTGAATAAGAGGGGAAGAAGTGGACAACCCTGATGAACACCACTCGATGAAATCAATTCTTATGACATTTCGCTATAAGCTGTGACTCGACCAGTAGCGTGTGAGTAGAGATTGTGTATAAGGCAAACGTATTTCTTAGGTAATCCTTTCAATGACAGACACTCCCATAAACCTGCCAATTGATAGAGTCGAATGGCGCCTTAAGGTCATGGAGTACAACAATATTGGCACACCGAAATGTTTGTGTTTGTTCTAGAGTCAGCCTGCAGAAGTGTGAATATGTGTTGTATACACCGACGTCCAGATCTGTAACCAGCATGGTTTTCTCTATTCTGCTGTTCACGAGTTCTAGTTAGGCATGGTTGCATTAATGAAGGTAATATTTGAGACACTGTATTAGTTAGACCGATTCATCTGTGATTTTCACATGAGGACTTTTGTCCTTTATTATAGACTGCGGCAATCTATGATTGGGACCAATCAGATGGGATCACTCCGAGTTTCCCGTTTCTACCTAAGATCGCAGTCAATCTAACTACTAAAACTGGATCATCGTCTTTAAAAATTTCAGAAGTATGCCATCAAGTACTGCTACTCTCTCGCTTTGGATTGCTTTTAGGCTTTTGAACTTCACTAAGAGTTGGAGTAGCATCATCATTTTACTATCCCTATTGCTTGGAGGTGGCGGATAGTCAAGATGTGACTGAAAGCCAATTGAACTGCATCCGAAAGTGTTCTGATCTTATGGATTAAAGCCGAATCACAGTCCCATATTTTTCCAAGACAGTCTTATCTACAGTCGGATTCCTAAGACCAGTTTCTTTGATAAGTTTGAACAGTTGTCTACTGTTAGCTATAGCTGTTACCTTTTCCATCCTTTTAACTTGCACTATCCAACACAGTTCAAGATTATTACGTGTTTATATTATGTATTTATATTAGCTTGTGTTTAAGCTGACTCCACTCTTCGTCGTGTCCAATGCGTCACGGACGAATACGCATCCTTACTACAACATAACCTGATTCTAAACACGTGCTCCAAAATGAGCGGACAGCAATGTGATCTAGTTGGGTCTAGCTTTTAGTCGATTTTGGAGGTCCGCATGTCAAAAGATATTTATCTTTGTGTTTAAGGTTGGTGCAACAGACGGTCGTCATTATCTGTTTTTTGAGCCACAACACCATAAGATCCACCCAGGTGCCTTTCCTTTTCGCTCAGTCTATCTGCTTGAGCATTAAAGTTACCAACAACTGTTACTATATCAGAGCGCCTAACTTTTTGAAGGAGGTTGGAAAGCATTTTGTAAAATTCGTCTTTCACCCCATCCGAGCTGTAATCAGTGGGAGCATTGGCAGAGACAACGAAGAGGCAACGGTGAGTTCCGAGTTATTACTGTCCCGTTTGGTCGAACAGTACAAAACAGACTATCTACTGGCGTCCAGTCTAAGAGAGCTACTTCTGCTTTAGACGTTAATGCTGTACTCACACCAGCGAGGTGACGAGAAGCAGCAGTGGGGCTTACAGATACAGAGAGCGTAAATCGGAATGGTTCCTTATTTTGACATGTTGAGGTCAAATGAATGACACTACTCGAATCCTGTGTGTGCTTTTCAGAGACGCAGTATATATCGATGACACGAGATTCTGAAGTCCTAGCTAAGGAAGCCTAGTATCCAGACATTAAAAGCTCCAACACGTGGTTTGGAGTGTGGTTTCAGGAGATCAGGAGTAACGTTTTTGTACTTGAATCGTTTGCATCAGCGGCGCGAGGTTGTAACAGTATATGGGAAGGGTAAGTCGGTGAGACAAGAGAGTTATTGAGAGGTGTAGGAAGCAATTGATTGTGACTAATTTGTTCTCGTATGTTGTCAAAGGTATAAGGGCGGATGTCACTTCCCGGCTGTCCACACAGTGGTAGGGTGTTTCTTGTGGAGTATGAAAAGAACGTTGGATTAGCGTGAGTAATCGCGGAGCTCAACGGACAACTGCGTGAGGCCGGTCGCGCATGGCATTTTTATGAGAAGTTTGTAGAGTGTTAGCTCCGCTCTTCAAGTAGCCTTACCTCCGGAGACGGAAGTCCGTGAGGAAAGCTGAGGTGTAAAATTTTTAGGGTCGACTGTTTCTAACTATTCCTTCCTTGTGAGAGGGCAGCATTTCTGCAGATGCTGGTTGTCCGAGGGGAACATCTTACTGCTATCACACCCCTCTACTGTCGGCAGCACTACTTCGCACCCATACCTTGAGTTGCTGCTTTTAGTCTCACCGTTCTCCAATCGACCTGCGTGGCATGGTAAAACCTACAGGAACATATGTTCCAGCGAATATAGCTTGGCTGAGTAATCGCGATAGACAAGCCTGGCCACCAATTCAAGGCAGTGTGGTGCTGTGGTGCGAGCTATTTATAAGTAGTATATGACGTGAGCGTCAACATAATGTCTGGCAGCATAATATGGTGAAGATCAAGAAAGGAAGAGTTAGAAAACAATGGAATTTATATGAAACGCATGAATAGTGACAATGGATTGATGTTTGGCAACATGAACAGTCCAGTTCGATAGGATGAACTGATCTTTAGCAAATGAACAATTTACGATATGGTTTTCCGATTTTACTGAGTAACTCTGTAATTTTCGTTAAATAAAATTCGGTTGCCCCACCTGTGTTCTCGTTCACTACAGCAGCAACTGCGGTAGGGTGATCAAATTAATCATTGATTTTAATATTTTCGACGTTAGGATAATTTATGTAAGTCTTTGATCCTTTGCTCCATGTTCTTTAATCTGGTTAACCATTTGAATGATGATGAGGTGGCGATTGTAAGTTCTCACCGTAATTAATCTACATTAGTTCAGGGATTCGAGTGATATAACTGACAGATAACTATATTTCAAAGCTCAGAGTAGAAACCTATGGTTAGTTATCTGATTATATTCTGTCAAAGCTATCATCATTCAGGCTAGTTTTTGGTAGAGTAGTGCTACTGTTTTATTTATACTTACTATGTTTATTGCCTGCCATGTAATTTTATTTGGTCATGTTTGAAAACCTGCAAATGTTTATGTACACTTTAGTCCTATATTTTTATCGTCTTCTAAGTTTACTCTGAAATAGCAACATCTGTCTTTATATTTTGTGTGACAGTTATTAATTGTCGTCATTTATTTTTATCTATGTTTTGATTTTAGATTTTACCTGGAATTTATCATTTCAAGCATAATCGTATTTCCAAAAGGTCTTTAAGACAAAACACCTATTATCATGATCAATTAGCTAATGATGAACAGGTGAGTTTAATTTTGGCATTTTTTTAGATTGATGAAACTATTTTGTTTTGTCCATTTGTTTATCCATGTAAATGCTTACATTTTTGATAGCACAAATTACCGATCGGCTTGAAATCATTATTCCAATGTAGCTATTCATTAGAATACTCAGGACTAAGAAAAAAATGAAATCTATCATTCCATAAGGCATAAAGCTTTTGCGGAATTTATAATTGACTCTGTAGAAAATGATTTTAGAACTTGGTTATGACTAAAAGGCTTCAAGTAGAAAATTAATAATTTGAGTCAATAATACACATTTCTACAAGTGAACACTAATCTACTGGTACTTGTAATTCTTCATCTAACTTTAATTAGTAATTAAAATCAACTCCAAAATTATGCAAAATTTCCTGAGAATTGCAGAATTGAAAATCAATGATCAAATATCCTCAGAAAGTGAAAAGTTCCGAGCGTAATTTTTTCATCAAACTCCAGTAACAATTAGTAGAATTTAAATAATAATTCAAGATTATTCATTAGAATCACTTTGAATGAGTAAATTTTTTGTTCCATGCAAGATTGACAAATGTTGTAACTGCGAATTGTTTATGATGAAATACTTCTCTATAAAGATTGAGTTAAGTCAGTTGCAACGTAGAACTTCGTACGTACGTACATCAGTTTAGGTTGCCATACCGCATTAGCACAGAGACGCAACTGTCAGTTCAAATCCCATAGTGGTGGAGATAGTAGAAGAATTAGTGGTAATGGATAGTATTAGGGATCGAAGATATTACTCAAGTAGTATAGTTCAGTGAGATAACTTCAGAAAGAGAATCTCTATAAATATATGATCAAGATTAGTAATTTTGAACTAATTTTTATAGCCTGTGCAAATGTGGAAAATTTCCATAATTCTAAAAAGTTTGTCATATCCTTAAAAACTTGCTTAAAAGTGTGTGTTCCAGAAAACGTTTCTTCTGTGATATGTACTTTATCTTTTCGAATTCCTGAAATTTTGAATGTATATTGATAACAAAGTTAATAATTTAAAGAGATAAATATCACCTTATAAGATTTTTGAAATATTTACCACTTAAATCGATTTAATGAATTATAGTCAAGACTAATAGGTTATCACAATTTAGTTTTTCAAAAATGATCAAATGTATGAATGTGTCTATTTTTAACATTTTACTGCAAAACATGAATGCTTTGTTGGAATATGATATTCAACTTTCTGACAAGAAGTCATGTAGCTGATATCACTTGTGACCTAATTCTCGTTTCATCAGTAATAATTACTTTATTTGTTATTATATTATTTAAGCTAATTTCTCAATTGTTGATTTTGATCATAATTTAACCCAATACTAAATGGAAAGTGATATATGCGTTGAGTTTTCAATTTACTTTAAATGAAATATTGTGTGTATGATGATTAGAGTAGAAAATATTTTATATCTTTAGTTGACAATAGAGAAAATTCAGTTAGAAATAATGGATGATATATACTAGATGAACCTACTCTTTACTATATATTTTGCAAGAAAATATATCTATATAATATAATAATATTTGAGACACTGTATTAGTTAGACTGATTCATCTGTGATTTTCGCATGAGGATTTTTGTTTTTTGTTATATACTGGGCCAGTCAGTGATAATGTTTCTCCTCAACATTGACGAAACATTCCGCACTTATTTCAAACTAGAAACGTTAGCATTTATATTAACTAATAATCAGTGTAAACTTATATATCGCAGTTTATTTATTACGTACAGGTTCAAGTGCTCAATTCGAAAGCACTCTTATTATTTTCCTTTTGCTACTATTCATCTTCACAAACTGAAATAAACGGAGTGGTGTCTGAACTGATGATGTAGAAGTTCAAAGACACATATTTTCATCACTAATGGATTTCTACTTAAAACTGTTCTAAAGAATATTATTTTAAGTTGTGTCCTAATACGTCTTGTACTTTGGATACTTAAACACCTTCTAGTCCCCAGAGTTATTTTAGTCCTAGAAGGAAAACAGATGTAGGGAAACATGGAAGAATTCCGTTTTTACGAGATTGCTTAAAACTAGTAACGACTCCAGTATTTGTCAGATCAAGATAGTGAAAACACAATCAGCTTGATGGTTTCAAAAGATTACTGAATGGCCGGCATATTTTTGCTATTTTTCCTGGTTTCTGACGGTTGTACTGAGTAATCCCAGAGGGCTAACAACAGACCACAAATTCAGATGTCTTTGAATTGTACAAATGTACTATTGAGCTGTTATCAGATCTATTGTCTTCACATGTATCCTAATTAACTGCGCGCACACACACTGACTACTTATAGATAGGATCAAAAGTATCAGTATATTGTAAACCCCCTATTCATACAGGTGCATACATTACTATCTGTTTCAAGAATAAAACGAAAAGGGACAGATTCAAATTTATTTAGTTTACTGCTTACGACTTTGTCCACCTACTTAATAAGAAAAATTGTAACATATTTTTCATTGAAACTGTTGCAAATTATAATTCTTATTTGCAACATTAAAACGGTAACATTGTTTGTGATTCATATAATAAGACAGTGAAAAAGGTTGTATAAATTGTTACTTGCTATTATTATTACTATTATTATTATTATTATGGTTAAACTCTTCAAATTTTCTGTGATACTAATATATAAATAACCATTTATATTCCTAACAATATTACAACTTTTAAACGATACTCTTTTTATAATATCAGTGAAGATTCAAAAGGATTGAAAAACGGTTGATGTATATTCAAATAAAAATAATGTCAAGTCTGTTTTTTCTTTAAATGGTTGTTATAACCATCAAAGTTTACTTTTTCTGTATTATGTTTGAATACATAATCCATTGGTCATCTTTGTTATTACTGTTTTGAATGTTTATGTTTCCTTACTAGTTAATTCTAAAGAAACACCAGGTATAAATGGTTAATTCTGAGTAATTTTCGTTGACTAGTCGGCGAAATCCGACAAAATACTCTTTGCATCATATAATTTGTACATATTTCAATAGATTACTGCAATGAAATGTGATTTGAACCTAAGAAAAATTAAACAGGTTAAACCTAGGACGAAAATATGAAGTGAATATCTATCTACAACATCATTTAAAACCAGATTAAATCACCAATATATATTATCCTATTGAGATAAAAAGTTTTAATCTTAATGTACAAATTTATATTATTCTAGAGTTTCATTCAACATACTTTCTTCAACTCATTTCATGAACAAGTTTTAGAATCTGTAGATTTTTTATAGTCTACTATCACATCAGTTAAAATTTATCTAATAAGTTTCTGTTGAGATTTAAGAGATACTTAATACCAACCCCCAAGTAAGTAAACAGAGATAAGATAGTCAAGTTTAGTACATCATATTGTAAAACAGTGCACAATACAGTATTCACAATGAAATTAATAAGTGGTAGAACACATTTTACTAACAATTTGAATTTGTTTAAAAATTTTAAGCAGAAATAATTAATTACAAAGCTGTCTAAATCTAGTTATTTCTAAAAATGTAAACTAGTGATAATAGTGATTTCTGTTCTTTTCGTTATTATAGCTTCACACCTATTGATCAAATGTTAACATTGTATAATATATGTCAATACAGAAAGAAAATACATTTCATTTTGAACGTCAGAAATTGTATGTAGTGAACTAAAAATCATTAATCATATTAAACTGACTAGTGGATGACCTGAAGTTTGGTTATAAAATGACAGACCAATATGCAAAGAAACATTGAACAAAAAGTTTGCCCTTATTAATATCATCAGATAAAAAGAGTTACCTATTACGTATAAAACAATGTGTGTTTTTTTTGTAGAAAGAAATACACTCACATTCAGTCTTCTTTCTGTTCAATTTAAACATTGGTCTTTTGTAATTTTCCCAATTTCTAATAATAAAGGTGCTTATCCAGAAAAAGTTGTACATTGACAATCATACACTGTTGACTGGTTATTTTTGAAATCTCAACATAAGCTTCTTGCATAAATTGTAAATACATACAATGTAATAACTGTTCAGTATTGATTAGTTCTTATTATCCCATCAACTATTTGCTTTATAAACTATTTTGAAGTTGGCGTTAGGTTTTCTAAGCTGGATAGTTTAGTTGTGAAGTTTTCACTGTACTTCTGGACAACATCATCAGGAGGATGTTTCAAAGAGAAGTGAGCGTCTTAAATTTCTCCAACATATATTAACATCTTTTTCTGTTGACTTGGAACTTGGTTGACGGTTATTTACAACTGTATTGTCACTGTTTTTTCATGTGTTGCTTTGATTGCTTTCCCTTCTGACTTGGTCCATGACCTTGCAGTTGTTATTCGTTTTTCTTATCAGTTAATAGATTCAGTAGGTTTTGATATGTGTATTTATTTATGCTGACATGGAGCACCAAACTTCTAAAAATTCTCCATCTTAAGTTTAGGGCATGTATTGTGTTTTTTCACAGTTGCTGCAATTTACCTTGTAGAGGATGTTTGGTTTGCCTTCATTTGTTATTGTGTCCTTCAGTTCGCATAATACATGACTGCAACAATTTTGTCGATTTTTAGGCTGTTTGTGATCTCGAATCCATTCTTCTTGTCAAGTTGTCTCTTTGTGTATTTTCGCTGTCGAGATCTGTATTCGATGGTCCTTTTCGACAAAAATTTGGTCAATTTTTATGGATATCCATCTTTTTTAGTAAAACCTCCACAAAATGATCCCTTTCACTTCACAAAATGAGAGCAATTCTTCAGCACCCCTTCACTTTAAGTTAAACGAATAATGCAACTCATATGTTAGCAATTATCTGTAGTATATATTTAATTACTTATCTATTCGGTATATAAAACATTTTTTTCTGTGTGAATTGCCTTGAAAAGTATGCAATAGATCTATTAAGATTATTTTATGATTCTTCTCTTCAGAAACCTATTGACCACAGTTGTACATAGTGAAGTAATGAACTCGTTGTT